CTGAAATTTTGAAGAAAAATTATAGTACGGAAACTAATACTTCTTCATTAGAATAAAATTTTTGATAAATGTATACATAAGGCATATTCACCCGTTTGTTGTATATTAACTATGATCCAATCATTTGAATCGATTCCGTTAACACTGATATTTTTATCTTGTGGTCTTAGCCACTGAGTAGGCAGAGTTCTAGAGAAATCGGGATTCGATCGCGTAGCAAATGTCAAAGGTATCCACCACTTATCGCTATCGGTATGTTCATTTTCGCTTTTTGGACGGAAATGTTCTTGGGCTAGTATTATTTCACCAGTGTCATAGTTTCGGGTCACGTGTACCATAGGGTAATGCCTTTGTTTTACCCAGGAATCCATTACCTCTTTCAATGTATAGGCATTATGTGGAACATCTGATTCATCGAGGGCTGCTTGAAAGGCATTCCATAAGTCGTCGGAAGTAACTGAACTGAACTGGCTACACAATATAAAATAAACATGAAAAATAATGTAGAAGATCAATTTTTTATTTGTTTATTTTATAGATCATATAAAAAATAAAAAAAATTTTTAATAAAAATTTAAAAAAATTTTTATTGTGAAAAATTAATAAAAAGTTAATGTAGGAGAGACCAAGAGTGATTGTCATAGTAAAAAGAAGAGTATTCTCTGAAATATATGTACACACACGCTCACACACACACACACACACACACACACACACACACACACAAATTAAATTACAAGCTTTTTAAAAATCAATCTATCTTTTAAATGACAACCGGTCTTAGCATCCCCTAATCTTATTATTATATTTAGTGTTTTATCCATTATATTACGAAAATTTGTATATTTATAAATATCAAGAATTATATGTTACTTACTGTTTGTGTAAATATTTAATGATACCTTTCTGAAATATTTTAGCAGTAACAATATGCTGTAACATGCGCAGTATAGCAGGTGCTGTGATAATTAACGTCATAAAACACGATTAATATATTAAAATAACATAAAGACATCCATAAATTTGCAAATATGTTAGGCAAAAATAGATTTAGTGGAATTTAAAACAGAATGCATATTTCTTCACGTTCTTATAACAAATTTAATATATAAGTAAATAATAATTTCTATTTTTATTATTACTTTTTCCTGTTACTTCATGTTATTTATGTGCTAGAGAACTAGGAGATTTATTTACATTTACTTCTCACCTTTGCCGTAACTGGAATAAGAAAAGTGTGAATCAATTTCTTCACGAGTTTTGACTTCGAATACAATAGGTTTCATTTTTTTAGCAACATCAGTATCAAGAGCTTCTTGTTGAACCTTGACAACGAAGAAGTCCATTATACGCCAATCTTGGAAAATCTGGAAACATATAGAACTCTAGAAAATTTCAAAATCAAAATTAAATAAAAAATTACTAAATAAAAAATTAATGGAATATTGTTATTACAAATGAAAGTAAATAATTTAAAATCTATTTTAATTTAATTAGTAATTATCTAAAATATGTTTTATTATTGATGATATTTTCACAAACCGCCATAACTGATTATTTGTATTTTTATATTTAATAGTCATAGATATAGAGAGGTTCATTATTTCAATTTATCTGTTATTTAATTTATCTACGACTTTTTGAAATGCACAAATGTGAATAAATTCAATTTAACAACAAACAATATTTAAACAGTATTTACCTCATTGAGAATATACTCTTCGAAAAATGTTGCAAATCCCTCGTTTAGCCACACGTGAGACCACCATGACGGACTGACCACATTGCCAAACCATTGATGTGCCATTTCATGTGCTACTGTCACTGCTACTCGTTGTTTATGAAACATTGTATCTTTTTTTTCATTGTATGCAAAGTCTTTTTCGCTAAAAATAATTTTATAACTCATTGTCAGTTACATATCGTCTCTTTTTGTCCATATAATGTTTACATATAATTGTTTAAATTATGTATAAAAGTTTTTATACATTTGTATGGTTTTGACAATTTATAATTTATAATTACGAGTCTTTGTCCTTAATTTTTCTTAATTTAGAATATGACTCTATTATATTTTTACATTTCATCATCTTTATATTTTCTTCACAATTGCTTAATGCCGTTTTAAATTCATAGTTAAATTGGCAAAAATGTTTAAAATTATTTCGAAAAGATATAATTTAAACATAAAGAAAATAAAAATTGACTTGCAGTTGGAGAAAAATCCTGGCTATTTTCTTTCACAGAGTTTTGACATTATATAGCATTAAACATAAATATACATGTATCAATAATATACATGCATCAAGAATATGCAAAATACAAGAATTGTTTTGTTAATATAAGAAATAACAAATATAAAAGTTGTTTTGTTAATATTTCTCTTAAATTATATTGTATTACTTATAAATAATAAGTCCCCAATTTTCCATGGCACCAGCTGTCAGTTGCGGAACTGCTAAATGATCCATTTTTGGAACTTTGTCGGTGATATTGGTGTATTCTGTTAATATGTCTGTAGCCTTTTGAGCAATCTCCTGTACAAGTTTTGAGTACGGAGCCAATGCTGATCTGCACCATATATTGAGCGTTTCATTTGTGTTAGGAATACGTACATAATCGGACACTACAAACGCTACGAGATAAGTAGACATGATAGGAGTCGTGTCAAAGTGTGTCCATATCATATCGTCTTTGTCATTCGATTGATCCCGTATTGGCATATTTGACACAGCTGTGTAATTTCGTCGATGTTTTATGGAGATATTGAAAGTGGCCTTTAATGCTGGTTCGTCCCAACACGGGAAAGCTCGTCGCGCCCAATTTGCCTCGAAATGTGATGCGGCCAACCACCTATCACATTTCAATATGACACGTTTTCAATAACGGATACATCAGCTACTGCTAAAACGAGCGAAATGTTTGGAAAATGTACAAATGTACAAATGCGGTTTAGAAATCATATTTGAATAATATTCATTTTTTGCAATCTGATTGTGATATATGTATCACTCCGATGCTTTTGAATGAGGAGCACAAGCACATATGCTTATTTAGAAATTTAATAATATAAATTTTAATAATATAAATTTTATTAGAATAATTATAATAATTAAAAATTTTATGCAATGTGTAGAAATTTAAAAAATCAATTTTTCGATTACAATCGAAATTTATTTTTTTGTTATAGATGTTTAGAAAAATATTTCGGATAAAATTTTATTCTAAAAATGTATAAAAATATTTCATTATAAATTTAAAAAGAAATGTAAAATGTAATAATATATAATTATACATTTAAAGAGGATGTTTAATTATATAAAGATATTCTAAAGACTTTGAGTTTGATATTATAATAATGCAAGAATAAGTAAATAAATGGATAATTTTAATGAATCATATAACGAGAATAATACATAATAATTGAGAACATCTTTAAAATTTTAATATTGGATATTTCTATACTTACACTTTTTCTCCTTTCTCATTGGTATACGATGTTCTGAAGAAACCATGCAATTCGTCATTTAGAATACCGATGAATTGTATATATAGACTATAAATTCCAGGGGATAATTTATCATTGAAATAAAGAGTTAAGATTTCTGTTTTGTTGTCGTAATTATGCGTTGTCGGTGCGTAGATATCGGTATCATTGCTAATCAATGATGTTGCTGTTTCATTTATAATTAAATCTAGTGCGTGTAAACTTATATTCTGCGATGCACGACGAATCTCAATGATGATATGCGATTTACCATTAAAGGTAAAATTATCTTTTTCAATGTATGGTATAAGTCCGATGTTGTAGTGCACTGGCACTACGTTATCTGGTAAACGGTAATTGACTGTGCTCAAATCATTCTCTAAATCTTCGTCAATAGAAAGAGCCGCAGCAGTGAATATTAAGCCAACATTTAATAATACTTTCAGAAACGCCATGCGAATTCTTTTCTCAAATATCTGTGCAAATATTATTATTATTCGAATATTACTTTCAATTATCATATTTCAATAAATTAGTTTTTAAGAAAAAGAGTTTGTATATAAATATTATTATACATAATGGCATTTTTAGCATTGATAATGTTCAAAGGAAGTTGAAACGTCTGTTTATATTCTCATATTATCTGTTAATTTATTACATTAAATTTGAATTGTTTTGGGGCTCGTAGCCCTTCGTATTATACCATATTTATTTTATAAATATTATTAATATAAATTTTGTGTAGCTACTATTTGAATTAGTTTCTAATTAAAAAGAAAAATACAAAAATTATCTTAATATTTATAACATAAATATATAAAAATTTTAAATGAATAATTGTATTTATTTATATTACCTAGTCAGAATTTGTCGAATCGGCGTTGATGGATCAATACTATTGACGTCAATCAAGGTTGATTTAATTAATTATTTCTAGTGCGGTATTTTCAATATGTTACAATTTTAATAATATTATTTAACACAATATTTAACACAATAAGGATTTTTTTTTAGTTATATGTACTATATTAAATATATTATGGAAAATCCCGTGTTTAGAAACACGTCTATATAATATAATATCGTGCTTATCAAGAATATACATCGATATTTGAATTTGAATTCAAGATAATTATCGAGGCTTCACGAAATGTTAGCGAGATAATTCTCGTATTGTGTTGTTGTAATCAGTTTCTCATTGTTGTCAATGTGTACGATGAATATTATCTTTCTATTCAATATATTTACGTGAATATAATTGCCGAAATCAAGCGAAACGTTGCAACTAGGTATGTCTTCCTGCTCGATATTAAAGTGCCTTTACTTGTGAAATAAATTGACTTTAGTCTTCTTTTATAACATTCGGTAAGAATACTTACTCGTATGACAATCAGATATTCGACGCACACCCATTGTTACTTCAAACGTGTTTAAAGGCATGAATAATTTACATGATTGACCTATGTCTCATATTATGAAACGATGAGTTATGTCACGCATTATAATAAAAGAATATAAATTATTTCTGTTATCGTGTTTTTAATGTAAAAAAAATCTTTTCTATTATAGCTTATTTTATTATTATGATCATTTTAATAATGTTCAATCTATATAAAACTTTTATGAATATTTTTACGTAATATTGATAATTATACCCACACTAGGTATACTTTTTATTAATACCTTTTAAATCATACGTAATTAATTTCAAACATCACAAATAATCATACCTTTTTTATTATTTATTAATAATTATACCTTTATTAAATACATTTTATGATAATGTTATAAAAGGCAAGTTTAAAGCAATCAATCAATCACAATGCAAAAAAATTTCCTTATATAATTTTATGAACATAATCTCTCTGTAAACATTTTTCTGCCTGTCCTAAAATTTGACAAAAAAGAAAAACATCTTTATCTTTCGTCTTTATTTCAATTATAAATAATCATAAATTAAATAAATTAATGTATAAGTGGTATAAATAGCAATCAATATATTTACAATCATACCATGTACATACAATTATGTAACTATATTATACTTATTATACTCTTAATAACTTTTCAATATATTAATTATGCAGTATTAAGTTTTTTATGGATCTGCATTTAGTGTTTAATTAGAATTCGTTAAAATATCATTTAGCTTATCGCTAAATATATCATTACTGAAAGCATTTTTGATATCTTATAAATTATAACAAATGCGCATTTACATTAAAATTGTAACTTGGAATGAATATGAGAAATTTGAGAAGAAAATGCGTAATATACATTTGCAGTATCTTCCATTTAATTTTATCTTCTTCTCATTTATAAAATCAAATGTTATAATGTTTCAACAAATAAATCATTGTTGAAAGAGCCAGAAAAGTGTTATATATGACTTCGATTTTATTGAGGAAATATGATTAAGTTAGAAATTAATCAATTGAAGATATTACATAATAATGAATTTGACTTTTTAATAGAATCGTGCGAGTAACAATAAAATAATTGGAAGGAGCAACGACAAAGTAATGGAATTTGCAGAGTCTGACTCATTTTCGTGAGAAGATTCACTATTTTTTACCATCCATTTCTCAACATAGTTCCGGTGAGTATTGATCCAGACAAGTTTGTTCATCGCAACGGACAATGCTTCAAACTTCTGTGCGTCTTGTAGTTGCCCATGTATGAGTAGCGATAACTAAAATACAAAAACAATTATATTAAAAACGTTTTTTAGAATTATTGATTCCATTTATCAATATTATTAGATTATTGAATTTTTATAACATGATAGTTAGACGATAATTAAATACATTTTGGAGACGCAATATTTTACAAAATTGTGAAATCCAATCAATCCACTCTGAGATAAGATATAAGTGCGCGATCGAACACGAGATAGAAATGAAATGTTTCGAAGATTCCAATTACTAAAATTTAGTTATACAAAAGATATGTTATCGCGATCTGATCCGCATATGTCATTCAATTAGTAGTTAAAAAAAATGTTCAAATTTGAAACAGTGTAAAATTGAGTATAAATTATTTAATGTTATTTTCTGATAGATATTAATTAAATTATATTATTAAAATCATAATCAATTTTTATGCATGTATATGATATGCAATATAAATATTAAATTTGAAGGAGTGTATCTTTCAATGAATGCTTAATTCTCTTTAGTTTAATAAAAATTTATTATAAACCTTAAAAATATAGATTAAATAAGAAAGAGATTAATAATGTACTACCTCCATATATTGTTTTGTTGTTACGACTTTGTCGGAAAGATGATTAAGGAGGGCACTCAGCAATGAGTTATCTTCTTTATCTCTGTAAAGAAATTATTATATTATCAATCATTGTTTATAGTATACTTTGTATTGTCCAAAGAATAAAAAGCAACTTACGCATTATGAATCGTTTCAATTTTATCGTTGATGAATTCTACGAGGATGTCGAAAGATTCGGCATTACCCGCACATATCGAATTCAATGCAGCAAAAATATCGATGTCGGAATCTTTCTCGAGAGTTAACGCGAGGAATTTCTGGACAATTTCCTTAGATGTGGCGCAACCAAGACCGGCCAAAATGTCCGCCTTTTCATCTTTATCTTCAGTGGTTTTGTACTTTTGTAGAGTCGCGTTCCATATTTGTGCATTTGCATTTCGCAATCCGGCGCAAAGTATTCCACGTCTTAAGTCTGGTAAGAGTCTAGAAATACTCGGTCAATAGTTAATATAATTTCTATAAATTAAATATGTAATATTGCTAAATGTTGACAAGAAACCTGCATTTTATATTTGTACGTACACGTATTTCGTAACGAAGAATTTTTCGAATTTTTAAAGTTCAAAAATTTTTAAAAATGTTTAAGAATAAAACGTATAATGTATTTGCATCGTACTGTTCAATATATTCTATAAACTGTACGATAAGTTCATAGACAACTCAGAAATTTTATTGTTTAGCAAGTATATAATGGATCCTAATTATGAATTTATGAAATTACAACAAGCTCTGAGACTTACTTCTTCTCATCTTCTTTCTTCTTATTATCCAACCAATCTTCAAGCTTTTTATTAGCAAAGTTATTGCAGTCTTCCAATCCGTATTTACAAGCTGTGTTTAATGCTAATACTTTGGCAAGTTTATCTACATGCGTACTATTTTTCCAATCCGTGTAATTGACTGTCGCAGCAAAAGATTTTATCGTTCCAGCGACATATTTCTGAAATTAAGTGATGCCTTAAAACATTAACACTTGTATTATATATGTTTCTCTTTTTTTTGCTAACTAACTAAAATATGCATTCGCAATTATGACATAGTATTTTTTTCTTATTCAACTTACGCGATATTCTGTATAGCTCTTTCCATCTATTAATACGGTGTCCAAATCATTGAATACTCTGACAGCGGCATACCATGGAATATAATCAGTCTCACGTGATAGATATGATATAATTTCCAATGCAATCTCATATGCCAAGTGTCCTGTACGCGCGAGATTTGCTGCATCATCGATCAATTGGGCGCGGTTGATTGCGCTTATATTAAGATAAAAAGGCGATTTTAAGTATAACGCTAGCTTCTGCCAATTTGAATCGTCATAATTTACACGATAGAAACCTGTAAATAATATTATTTCATATTTTTTGCCATATTCAACTTTTAATCTTCACGATAAATTTACTTTTGTATACATAATTATGATTATAAAAATGTTAAGTCAAATGTAATAAATTAAACTAATCATGTTATTTGTTCTACATCTTTATATATAATTTTATTTTAGTTTTATATAAAAGATTAATGTAAGTATGTCAAATAATTTAGTAGATTAATAGATGCATGCATCATTAGCATTGCAATGAATGTAAAGATTACATAGCGATGATCAATATATACATACCTGTCTGATTCTTATTAAAAAGTATCCATTTCGTATCGTTTAGTTTGTCTAATGATGCATTTGTTCCGGGTATCAACCAGCGAGATTTTTTGTCCGTAGGCATCACTTTTTCGGGCGAATCTTCTGTTACATAGTTGATGGGTATATACCACTGAGTTTTATCTTCTTTCACTGGTTTTATCCAAAAGAATCGTTCCTGCTTTATATCAACAGTACCAGGTAATTTCTTATTCCACGTGACGGTAATGACAGGATATCCAGGTTTATTAACCCAATTATCCATAACTTGTGTAAGTGTAACATTTTTTGGCAAACATTCTTCCACTTTCTTATTGGAAGTTTGGACAGATTTGAAGAAATCGTTAGAATCAACGGATTTGCCTTTGCTAAAATTACGAAATTGTAGGATTATTCTATTATTTTGTGATTCTATTATTTTGTGATTAATGCTATACACAATTGTGATTAGCATTATTAAATATTTATATAATATAAATGTTGAGAAAACGTTTTTTTCTCTACTTTTAAATAATTATAATAAATACTTACTGATCATTTAGATATTTTTTAAGTCCTTCTTGAAAAACATCTTCTGATAAGAATCCTTGCATCATATAAAGAATAGAAGCACCTACAAAGATGAATAACATAAATTAGAAAATTGAATTAATTATTTTATTTT